TGCCATCAGATGCAATAAACAAAGCAGAAAAAGAAAGAATCCAGGCATGGTGCATACAAGGGTAAACCCAGCACTCAGGAGGCTGGAACAGGAGAACTGCCATGATTTTGAGGTCAATTTGGGCTATATAGTAGGGCCCTGTCTCTAAACCAAAACCAGATGAAATCAAAACAAACAAGGGATTGAGTAGTGTAAGCAAGAACAATGGACAGAATTCTATCCGTGGGGCACAGAACTGAACTCCACAGGGAGAGGGTGGGCAGAGAGAAGGATGTGGTGCTCAAGGTCTGGTCCCAGCCATCCTTCAGTTCTAATCAGTCATCTTTCCTGGAGAGGCATTCACTAATGCTGCAAACAGCCAAGACAATACAAAAACAGGGAGAAGAACCCGGCTGCAACTTCTAAAGGCTTCATATCATTACTCTCTTTAGGGCAGGCTTCTAGGAACTTCCTCCTGACCTGCAAAAGCACTTGTCTTCAGTTATTGCCTTTGGGTTTACCTCACTTTTTTATTCTGCTACAATGTAAATGAATTTTTAAAACTTTAACTGAAAAATTACGTGTCACATTCCTATCAAACATCCCCCCTCATATGTATCCCCAACTTCTTCACTCTCTAATCACCCAGCTGTCACTCATCAAGCAACTTCTCCATTCTGCTATACATGGAGACATCTGGAATCAAGTGCGGAATATTATTTTATGGTGTGTTACATTTGTTTATACTGTGGAACATTTGTTTAATGATGCAAAGATGTGTTCCATTCTTTTTTTTTTTTTTTTTGGTTTTTCGAGACAGGGTTTCTCTGTGTAGCTTTGCGCCTTTCCTGGGACTCACTTGGTAGCCCAGGCTGGCCTCGAACTCACAGAGATCCGCCTGGCTCTGCCTCCCGAGTGCTGGGATTAAAGGCGTGCGCCACCACCGCCCGGCATGTTCCATTCTTTTATGTTGCATTTGTTTAACTCTGTGAAGCTGTGTTACTGTGCCTGTCTAAAACACCTGATTGGTCTAATAAAGAACTGAACAGCCAAAGCAAGGTAGGAGAAAGGATAGTTGGGGATGGCAGGCAGAGAGAATAAATAGAAAGAGAAATCTGGGAGAAGGAAGAGAGATCAAGGAGCAAGAAAAGAAGGGTTCAGCCACCCAACCACACAGCCAGCCACAGAGTAAGAGTGAAAGTAAGATTACAGAAGTAAGAAAAGGAAAAAGCCCAGAGGCAAATGATAGATGGAACAATTTAAGATAAGAAAAGCAGCTAGAAACAAGCCAAGCCTAGGTCGGGCATTTATAAGTAATAATAAGCCACTGTATGTATGTATTTGGGAGATGGTTGGTGGGCCTCCCAAAAAAGAGCAAAGAGTAAAAACAACCAACTACAATCAAGTTCACCACAGTTAAAAAAACAATGGTTATTTTATGCACTTATTTAGTATAACATATTACATTCTCTCTTCCTTTTAAAGCTTTGTTGGCTGGTATGTACTAGTGGTAAGTACATCCACAGCACACGTGAGACTCTGAGCTCAAGTCTCAACACCAAAGAAAACAAATTCTTTATCTTCCTCTCCCTCCCCTTTCTTTCTCTTTCTTCCTTTTTCTTTTCTTTTCTCTTTCTTTCTTTCTTTCTTTCTTTCTTTCTTTCTTTCTTTCTTTCTTTCTTTCTTTCTTTCTTTCTTTCTTTCTTTCT